CGCTCAGACATAGTCGTTCTAGCTGGTGACTTTAACGCTCAAGTAGGGAAATTGTGTCAATCTGAGAAGGATGTCGGTGGCACCTATGGAGTTCCGTGCCAGCGAACCGACAACGGTGACCGTCTCCTACAGTTCTGTTCTGATAATCATTTGTTTCTTGTAAGCACTAACTTCAAACACAAGGAGAGACACTGTTTGACTTGGAGACCCCCTTCATCAAACCAACGCTGGACACAAATAGACCACATAGCAATAAGCTATCGTTGGCGTGGGTCGGTAGGAGATTGTCGCTCCTTCTGGAACACGTGCGTAGATACCGACCATGCACTGGTCCGCGCTCGGGTGTGCTTACGACTGAACGGACGTAGGAAACAGCTGGCGGTAAAACCATCACGTCCCCAGCTCGATCAGGAAACTAAATCCGTATTTGAGGAAGAACTAGCTAAACACATATCTGTGTTCGACAGCTGTGCTCACCCTGAAGAAGCTTGGAAAAATATCCAGGCAGCCATAGATACAGCTGTAAAAGCTGTGAATAAGGTAAACCCAAAGGTGAGTAAAAACCACTGGATCTCCACCGCCTCATCCGAACTGATAGATGCTAGAAGACTTATTCCGGCGAGCTCCGAATTCAATGAGGAGCGAAAGCTGCACAAGAGGAAACTTACGAAAAGTCTCCGCAAGGACCGTGAACAGTGGTGGGCGACAAAAGCCAAAGAGATGGAGAAAGCTTCGAGGATAGGCAACACCAGGCAACTCTTTAGACTCATCAGGGAAACGGGTGGGAGAAGACAAATCATTAGTGAGACAATCTCGGAAAAAAATGGCACTATAATTAGCTCCCAGGATAGACGACTGGATCGTTGGAAAGAGCATTATGAGGAGCAGTTTAATTGGCCCACAGCCACGCTCAACCTTCCGAGCATCCAACACCTCCCTGAATGGGATATAGACACAGGTCCTCCGTCACTAACTGAGGTTACTAAAGCTGTCACCAATCTGAAACTAGGCAAAGCAGCGGGACCTGATGGAATGACTCCAGAGGTATTTAAGTACGGTGGAGACAGCTTACTGTCCGGATTAACTGAGGTACTAGGCAGCGTCTGGGAATCAGAAGAAGTCCCATCGGGTTGGTGTAAGTCACTGATTATCCCCATATACAAGAAGGGAGACAAGTCTTCCTGTGATAATCACAGAGGGATTAGCTTGACTAATATAGTATCTAAAGTCTTAGGCTCAATAATCATGCGTAGACTGAGTGGTGCTCGGGAAGCACAAACACGAGAGAGCCAGGCAGGCTTTAGACCAGGAAGAGGGTGTATTGATCATATCTTCACCCTCCGACAGATTCTAGAACATAGGCATTCCTACCGGCGTCCAACAGTCATTATATTTCTTGACCTAAAGGCAGCATTCGACTCTGTCGATCGAGAAGTTCTCTGGAGATGCTTGGCTGTAAAGGGAATTCCAAGAAAATATATTGCACTGATTAAGGCACTCTACTCGTACTCATACAGCCAGGTGAGGGCTTACGGCGAGCTGTCATCTGAACTGATGACGACCAGTGGTGTCCGTCAAGGATGCCCATTATCTCCTTTTCTATTCAACTTCATCATAGATGTGTTAATGGACTTAACCCTAGGTGACTTCAGCGACTCAGGGATTGACTTGCTACCAGGGAATAATCTCGTTGACTTGGAATATGCAGACGATATAGTCCTTCTAGGCGAAGACGCTGACGAAATGCAGAGTCTTCTAAACACCTTGAGCCGCAATCTACGAATGTTTGGCATGCGATTCGCTCCCGCCAAATGCAAGATGATGTTACAGGACTGGACTACATCGACGCCTAGTTTAAAAATAGGAAGTGAAGTGGTAGAGCACGTTGACCGCTTCACTTATTTGGGAAGTACCATCAGCCCCAACGGGCTGATCTCTGACGAAATCTCAGCACGAATACAAGGGGCTCGTTTCGCATTTGTTAGTTTACGCCGACTCTGGCGTAGACGAGATGTTCGACTATCGACCAAAGGGCGGGTGTACTGCTCATCAGTCCGCTCCGTCCTCCTTTATGGTTGTGAGACCTGGCCACTGAGAGTGGAAGACATGAAAAGACTAGCTGTCTTTGATCATAGGTGCCTGCGTTCTATTTCCCGTGTAAAGTGGCATAATAAGGTGAGCAACATGGAGGTTAGGCGTAGAGTTCTAGGTAAACAGGGGAAATCAATCGACGAAGTCGTGAAGCTACAAAGACTGAGATGGTTAGGACATGTGTTACGTATGCCAAGTCATCGCCTCCCTCGACGAGCAATGTTAGCGGATATAGGGTCAGGCTGGAAAAAAGCTAGCGGCGGTCAAACAAAAACTTGGCACCAGTCAATGAAATCCACAACAGTTGGTTTAAGCCACGTAGGAAGGTGTAGACTTCCTGATTGGGGTCCTCGGGACGGTAAAAATCTATGGTTGAAAACAATTGGTGATATGGCTTAAAATTGTTCTCAATGGCTCACACGCATCCACTCCTTGTGACTTATGATTTCCAATCAAACTGTTTTGTTCTTCGTTATTACTCCTTTGTCTCACCCCTCTGCCTACTGTCTCTATTATGCTTTTCTTGTACTTTCTTCTCTTGCTTCACGTGCTACACGGAGTGTGGTGACTTGAACTTCTGCACATTTGTGCAAAGTTCTATGTCGAAAACAGACAGACAGACAGAACGACTTGACATTTGTGTTGACCATCCGAATCTTGTTCTTTATGCTGCCTGATTTCAGATTTCCAAATTGTTTTCAAATTGATGAAGGCGTATCTGCCAATTCCGATTCTGACTTTGATATCTTCATCCGTTCCAACTGCCTGTGTTTGAAACGATGCTGACTGCCTAGATAATTGAGGGAGATAATCTCTGTTAAATCTCTCCCGCTGATGGTGATTGGTGCTGGTTGTTGATGTAAGTGTTAGTTGGTTGGTTGATTATCTTTATCACCCCCATATTCTTCACTATGTTCACCTGACTTCTTGTCTTCGCTGTCTGCCTCTTCAGCCAGTTTGTTGCTTTTCGCCTTCCCGTAGGTCTTCGAGTTTGTCTGACATTAGACATATATCATCTGCAGTGTAGTTTGTAGTCAGAAACGTCTGCCGAATTTATCATGTCTAGTTAGCTTTCTAATTATCAGGCTTCATACTTGATCAGAATACCTACTCAACAGGAAAAACCACATTTTCATATTTATAAAACACAAAATGATCGAGTAAAGATTATTCTTTTCGATAAATTCCTCTTCCGGTTCTAGAATTAAGTATGTGTTTATATACACAGAATACTTACTTACTTACTTTACTTTGCTTCGGCTATCTCCTACGGGAGGATGAGCCGGCTTCATGAACCATGAAGTTTCATGGGAATTGGGTACGAGTGATGTCCCCAGCATCGCTCGGCCTTTTGTTTGAGAGTGCAGCTCTAGCCTTTACACAACCAAGTGTGACCTACAAGGCAGTAGGAGTGGAGTAGGGAGTCCACTATCCATTGGCAGCCGGTGACCGGAGTCCGGTTCATTCGCTTTTTTGAATGGGGCCAGTCATCCAGGGCATCCAATAAGCCCTTTGTCCATACGTCTGCCGGTGAGCTCCAGTGAGCTTCATACGCCAGTTGTTGGAGGTTTGGAATCAGGGTTTAGCCATCTCCCCTAGACTGTCATCCAATGGACAGTGAACCTGGTGAAGAGCGCCGGTCATCCGGTTTTGCCCTCTCACTTTGGTGAAAAACACCTCCGCCATGTGAAGGCAGTGAGTAGGACTTCCTCAGGAGAGGCTATGTAAGACGCCCGGTCATATGGGAGCATTTCAAGAGGTGTACGGAGGGGTGGCCAACCCGCAGCGCAAGACACCCACCCCCGACCATCCTGAGGCTTTGGAGGCATACACAGAATATTCTAGATTAGTAGTCAATAACAATATCAGTGTATTTTTTAAATAATATCGATTTGTTAAGTAAGATCACAATGGAATTACCACAGTTCATTAAAGATGCTTAAATTAAAAATAATACTAATAATGTTACAATAGTGAATAGAATATCAACTAAAATTAGGAAAATTCCACAAAAATTTATGATCATTCAAACGTAGATGGCCAAGGTAATGATAATGTCTGAACTAACCAACTTCTTTTGGATGCATAAATTAGGCTTGTTAATATGGATCCCCACAGCCAACCTCAGCAAAATTTAGAAGTCGAACTCATAAGGCAAATTGAGATTCGTAGATATGCGATAAATGACTCTGAAAGTATGGTTAACATCAGTCTTGTGTTCTGTCTCCACAAGATGATACAGAATAGCGCTACGAATGGATTTTGTTTGTCCTTTGCTTAACCACTGTGCAGGATGATGTTCGGAAATTCGAAGAGAAACACGCCTAATTGTACGGCCTATGTAACTGGCTCACTCCACAAGGGCAGTTAAATTGGTAGATGCACACACATGGAAGTGGCGAAACTAGGCAGTTTGTCTTTTACTCCCGGACGCAAAAGAGGAGTGGTTTTAAAGATACAGCGTAATTCGGCAGCTGGGAATACTGTTTTTACCGCATTTCTAAGGCTCTGTGTTAGTATCTCGCTAGTGTTGTCCCCAAGGAACTGCATCTGTAAGAATAAGGCCTTTTTTGTAACTGTTGGTAACTTGGGCTGCTTTGGTTTATATATTTATATTACATCTAAATGATTATAAAATACAAGTCACAAAATGCTCTCAAATGAGGCATAAATCAATGAGTTCAAAAAATCGTTGGTAAAAGTTCGCCTCCTTACTACACCAACGCCTGTTCTTATCATTTCACTTGATTCATTCAATCTGATTTGTTCAGTAATATTTCATTGTTATTAACTATGTCGATGAGTATTGGATACCTTTCTCAAGGTGAATACAAGATATTAACCAATAGCTGTTGAGATAGATTTATTGGAATTTTCAATATCAAAAAAGAACTCAAAGTGGAAAGACAATGACGAGTGGCAATGAAACTGTAAGATTCATTTGATGTAACTTTATATGTAATGAATCTAAAATTTTTCTTTGGTTTGAAATTATTATGAAGAATTATTGCGGTATCTGATTCACTTAATTGATTAAAGTTTAATTGACAAGTGTAAAGAGTGGACATTAAAGTAGTATGACCTTGAAACAACCAATCAGATCGCTCAGCATTACAAATGGATTATTATTATTTATTGTTATTTCCTTTAATTCCTAGAGGAACATAGGGCTTCAGCCGCCCAAGTCTCCATTGCCTTCGGTTTTCCGCTAAAGTTTTCACCTGGCTCCAAGTCTCCCCACATGCTTTCATCTCCTCTTCATATCACCTCCTACATGTCACCCTCACACTGACGACCAACTCGCCACCCGCTTCCCTTTCGGCCTGGTTCCACTCGAGCAATGGCTTGTCTAGTGATGTCACTCACTTGATGGTTTCCTCAGAGTATGGCCAGTCCATCTCCATTTCTTCCTGCCTCTTTGTTTCACAATCGGTTCCTTCTGGGTTGGTTCGCTCATTGCCAGAGATCCCTGTTGCTGATCTTTTCTGACTGGACATCTGATCTTGAGTATTGAGCGAAGACAGCTGTTAAGTGAAGGTCTGTAGTTTGTTGGAGGTGCTCTTTATGACGCGCTGGTCAAGTCTCTGATCCGTATAGTAGCACTGAGTGACTTCACATTGGAGTTGAAGATCTGGATCTTATTTTCGATGCTGAGTGCTGTTGACCTCGACACAGGCTTGAGATAAATGAAAGCTTGTCTTACCTTCCCGATCCTTGTTTTGATATCCTCATCAGTTCCGCCCATAGTTGAAACGATGCTTCCCAGGTAGGTGAAGGAGGTTGTTTCTTTCGGGTTCCTCCCATTTATGCTGGCTGGTTGTTGTTGCTGCTGTTGGTGTTGGCCAGTAATCTTCATCACCTCTGTTTCCACTATGTTTACCTGAAGTCCTATCTTTGATGCTTCTTGTGCCAACTTGTTGCTTTTCACTTGCATTTCTTTCAGTTTGTGGGAAATCAAACATATGTCATCGGTGAAGTTGAGATCCTCTAAGTTTTTTGTGTGAATGTAGATCAGAAACTTTTGTTGTAAGTTTCATCTAGATTTGATTTTCGGCTTCTCTTGTGTAAAATTGGTGTATAGAGCTGATGTGAAGGGGTTATGACTCTTCGAAAGTATTGCCGGGCTACTGATGGCAGTTATGCACTCAGATGGAATCACAATCACAGCAGGAATTCTATAAGAGCTGGTAATTCGTACATCATGGTGGCTGCTTTTAGATACTTTCTTCACGGAATCGAAACTCTCACTTAGTAAAATATTGCGTATATGCCACAATCGATTACTCAGACGATCAGTAGTATCTGCTACAGCTGCAGAAACTCAGAATACCAAAATGTAAACAGCGGAGTGGTACCCGCACTGTCGGGATTTTGTCTCACAAAGCACCAATGCAATTATTTGTGTATTTGGAGGAAATGGTGTCATCGATCATATTGACGAAACAGTACTTATTAAATGAAAAATAAATATCAGCGGTAGGAGAAGAGCAAACCATGTTTGGGTACTGGTACTGTATGACACAAGTCTTCGTAAAGGGTTAGTAGAACGCATTCCAAAGAGAAGTGCCGATGTTTTAAAACTAGTAATACAATTGCATGGAGGATTTAATCATGAGCTGACATCATTTAGAGAACCACTGGAAAACCTGAGAGTACTGGATAGCTGTTTCGTCCTAGTTTGGGACTCTTCAGCAGTACGCACCCACCGGGATTCGAACCCAGGACCTTCTGGTTACAAGGCAAGCTCGTAGACCATTGAGCCACTGGGACCCGATCCAATGCAATGACTGATTCTCCCAGGTACTATTGTAACGACAGAAGACAAAGGCCAGACAACAGATCGTTTATTAAGGAAATCAACACATATTTATAGATTTTCATGTACATATTATAGATTATTGTCAGCAGAAAAACACACTCCTCTGATTGGTTGTTTCTCACAGAAAGTTAACAGCGCATCTCTTTGTGACTGCTTCTTGAATGTCAGATCATCTATACGTTAACTGTATCTGCCTACGCAAAGTCTTTGTTCTCATTTTCCTCGCGACCAATATAGGGGATGTAAACATTGACATAAATTACTGTCCACCAATTTCGACTAACAGCCAGCTCTCACCACATTATCACCATTCACATAAACAAGTGGAGAGGTTATTCGCAACTATCATCTCTAGACTGTATTTATCACAAAGACAGTCATTCCTCTGAATTAGTGGATCCCACAAGTGGAACCCATACTAATTCTATTGAAGGGCTCTGAACCCATCTAAAAAAGTGTATTCGGATGGCAAATGGTTCTCGAAATGATAAAATATACTGGCACTTCGATGAATTTTTGTATTGATATTGGTTTGATATATCTACAGCCACATCTATGAGAAACTGAGACCAATTTTTGCACCACATTCAAGATCTTTAATTCATTTTTATTACATATGTATTTTAAAAAGTTGGTTTGTAAAGATTACCTTTGTTTTTTGAGTTCAATGACGGATTGATATCAGTTAGGGGACTATTGAAAACTAGCAATGGAGTAGTGGACAGCCAGCTATTTCATTCCAGTTTGGGAAAAATCGGCAGTACACACCCACCACCGGGGTTCGAATCCACGACCTTTCAGTTACAAGGCGATCTGGCTTGTATACCATTCAGCTACTGGGACTTGAGTCTTCATTGGGCAGACCATGAATTCTAACTCCTACCAGTTCGTGATTTTCAGTGTGTCACTGGTGGGAAATCCACCCTGATTCCCGGGTGGATTCACCTTACTGGTGACGACTTCTCACTAGAACTCCAGGAAACTCCATCCTGTAGCCAGTCAGTCACTAGCGAGCATCAGATTAATTAACTCATCCTCACAGTTATGACAGAGGAGGTGATTGCTAACAATTTTTAGTGAATCCCGAATAAAGTGCACTACTCAGGTTTGAAAACTCGCCTAATTAGCACAACTGTTTACGGATATATCTATAAATATTGGGGTGAATAGTTTTTGAAGAGTTGATTTGTAAGGATTTGATTTGTATTTCGAGTTTGACCACGGAATGATATCAGTAGTTCTATAGTGGATTGGGTATACATTGAGGATGCCATCGAATGGCATCCCGCGCCAGGCCCTAGGGTGGAATCTCAATGGGAAGCGACGAGTTGTTCGTCAGTGTGATGGTGAGTTGTAGGAGGAGATCAGAGATTATGGGTAACCGTGGTTCAGGGTGAGGATGATAGCAGAAGATACAAGAAAGTGGAGATGTGTTTTTGAAGCCCTATTTTCCACTTGGAACTGAAGGGAATAATAATATAATCATAAACGGTGAAAATAGAACCGTTAGCAATCTGATGGTATCGTGTAACTTCTATTGATAGATTTCAATATGCAGCTCCCATTATGTGGTCTGGATGAAAATACGTTACAACACTTAACTGAAATTTGTTACTCACTGAGGCAAGTACTGTGAACACAGTCAACTTTCATATGGTGATCATGACAACAGTCACTGGAATTCATTTTTTAAACTGTCCACTATATCACTATAGTGATTTCAGTTTAAATAAAGACGTGGCATTGTGAATGCGTTTGTATCCATTGAAATTTGACTGAAAGATTCTGGGAATAAGCCCAATTTGTAACTGGCATTATCATACCTATTTCATTTACCTGTTTGTTAAAAAAAAACCTTGAAATGGTTAAGTTTTTCTTGTTGATTGAATCGTGAGAGACAGAAATCAATTGATGTTTTTCCTGTCCCATTCAAAAAGTTTTCAACTATTAGATGGTTGGAGGCAATCGGCAGGAAGCCTTGCCTGACTTAGGTTTCATGCTAGCTGGCACTCGTCAGCAAGGTGGCGTATCTGTAACCTTGAAGGAACTCACATCCCTCCGGAGATTCGAACCCGCGTCACCCAGTGGGGCTGCAGTCAGAGACGTTACCACTGAGCTATTCTAGCTCGCGATTGGCCTCCTGTAAGACTGTAGTGGATATTTTGATTTGACACTAGTAACTAGTGGGACATGAGTTCCTTCAAGACAGTTGCAGATACGCCTTGCTGACGAGTGCCAACTAGCACGAAACCTAAGTCAGGTAAGGCTTCCTGTCGATTGCCTCCAACCATCTAATATCATCAAATCAACGTGCACCATGATGGTGAGCTACCTAGAATGGTGGCCACATTACAGCCTGACCGATAGAATTCAGTTTACACCAATGAGAGGACTAGACACATCACACTAGTTACCAGTGTCAAATCAAAAGTTTTCAACTATTTCAAAGGGGAATACAGCTACAGAAAATGTGACTCTGGCAAATAGGTTTCACGCGTATGAGTAGATTTAAAACAATTCGTCTTTTTTTTATAAATTTGGATAGTGTTATTAGAAGACGGAGATTATCAAAAAAAGTGATTTATTTGCGCTATTATACATTTCGAACAATCTGATCACACATTTAGTTGTGAAGTTGATATCGTACTTCTAGGGATCAGTCCTATAGTACGTATCACCAGGATGTCAAACAAACTTGACCCTGGCTATATCAAAAAAAAAAATGGAAAAAAAAATAAAAAGTGTGCGTCGGTGGCACAGTGGTTGGGACTGTCGCCGACCATGCATATGGTCCGGGGTTCGAGCCCACGCCGGCGCACACCTGATATCTATGGTCGGCCTGCAAAATTTGGGCTACCGAAATCCATGCTGAAAATTCCATACTTGTACCAAAAATACAGTGTGGAATCAAGCTGTAAATCGAAAAAATTCATATATTTTATTTTTTTATATTTTTTATGACAGCTTGATTCCACACCGTATTTTTGGTACAAGTATGGATTTTTCAGCATGGATATCGGTGGCCCAAATTTTGAAGGCCGACCATAGATATCAGGTGTGCGTCGGCAGCGGATCGAACCTCGGACCATGTGCATGGTCGGCGAGAGTCCTAACCACTGTGCCACCGACGCACAGTGAGAGAGCATATGCCGAAATGGTTAGAAAAACAAATGAATTATGGAAAACCAATAGACGCAGGTGTCAGACTACCAACTCTAAGACTGATGTTAACTCAACCTTTATGGTGATTAATGAAAATAGTCAAGGGCGCTTAATGAAATACACTGAGGCTATAGCTATTCATAAACTTAAGCTCCCCACTCTCAACTGTGTATTTAAAAACAGTTTATTATATACTCTTAACCTACTTTGGTAATCCTTATTTGATTAGAACGTTGTGTCATGCATTCTTAAATACTTTTTTTTGTCACTTTGTTTAATTTAATTGTCCTTAATTTTTTAATATATATATATATCGACTTGACAAGTAAATGCGTGATCGGATTGTTCGAAATGTGTAGCGCAAATACATCACATTACATTTTTCAGATAATCTCCGTCTTCCAATAACACTGTCCAAATTTATGAGTAGATTGAAAGGGAAAAAGTAAGTCATTGTAAACCGCTGTAACGATTATTTATTCGGATAAAACTTAGGCAAGCTGAAAGGATTATTCATATACTGTGTACTGCTCTCATACCCACTACTGAGGCTACACATTCGAATCCTGAACCCATCGACTGAAAGTTGATCGTTTAAGTCAATGAGTCAATTCCCTATGAGGGAAAATTTATATATTAAACGATGCTGAAACGTAGTGGAAAATATAATTTGTCCATTTTGCGTCGGCTGTGCAATAAACTGTGGTTTTCGTATACATTAGAACAGAATGGAGACACACCCGTGCTCACCATCTCCAACATATAATTGTGATTCATATATATGTTTCTGAAGTCGAAAAGCCTACCTAACAGTAGTGTGTATATGAATTCACTCATGATATGATAGAGAAGATTTGTAGCTCAGGTGGATGATTTTGATGTGGTTGTGTTCTCTGAGCTGGTTAGTTGATTTGCGAAGCTTTCATCGCCCTACTAAGCGACATCTTCAGCGCATGCTACTTCAATTTGTTGAAGTGAGCTTTTAGATTTCTCCACGAGTTTATTTATCATCTCTTCTGGTGACCACCTTGAACGTGATTGGTTATTTTTGTGTGTTTTCACACATTCTAGGCAGCTACTTGTATTCGAACTGATAGTTTCTTTGACTTGAACTTTGACCCTTTGTGTATGAGATTTCCTTCTTATCGGTTAGTGAATTTTGTCTGTGTCAAAGTGTCTCTATTATTAATTGACGATTCACTGGAGTATCAGGCTTCTAGAGCCATTCTCTAGCATTCTTGTTGTTTCCTCTGTCTAATATGTGAACGTTGTCCCAATCGAATTGATGTCCGTGGTTGTCTGTATGTATTGATATGAGGGAGTGGATATCATGTCTCTCTACGGTTAGTTCATGTTCATGGATACGAGGACGAAGGGGATGTCCACTTTGGCCAATGTACTGTTTTTCGCAGTTATTACAATTTATTTTGTAGATGATGTTGGTTTTATGTTCTTTCGTTGTTGAGTCTCTTGCTTGACACAGAGACAGCTGAGTGACGTGATTTTGTTGGTTTGTGTGCAACGTCACTTCCCAAAGGTTCGAAGAGTCTTGTTTGTAGTGATTTCTGAGATATCCTTTTTATATGGTAAGACGATTTTCTTTGTGCTTTCCTTGGTGGCTTTTGGTTTGTTAGGTTCGCTTGAGGGTGTATGTCTTTTGATGAAATTCCGTGGATTTCCACTTTTTTGGAAGACGTCCATGAGATATCTCTCTTCAATTTTCCTTAAGGTCAGAGTGCTGCAATGAGTCCTGGTTGGTTCTCTTGAATAGTGTTTGTATGCAATTCCTTTTGTGTGTTGTGTTATTGGATTGTTGCTGTTGTAATTGAGGATTTGGTCTGTGTGAGTTGATTCCCATTAAACTTGAGTTTCTAATTCCCCTGTGGTTGTTCGCTTGACTAAGACGTCCAAAAAATGGTATTTTGTTCTTGGATTCCTCTTCTCTTGTGAATTTGATGTCGTTGAAGACGTTGTTTATTAAGTTGTGAGTTTTATGTAACTCGTTTCTTTTGATGATTACAAATGTGTCGTCGACGTAGCGTATCCAAATCTTGGGTTTGATCTTTGGTAGAATTATGTTTTCGAGTCTTTGCATCGCTGCTTTGGATGCCTCTGATTTCCTCTAGGAATTGGATGGCAGAGTTGATGGAGTGATCACAAGATTCCGTTAGGTGTTTCAATTTTTCTGTATAATTCGTTGTATAAATTATATGTTGGAGTTCATGGGAGTGATACAATTGGTCGTAACGGGATATTTGCTTTGTGTATTTTGGGCCTGCCGTAGAATCGAGGTAGGAGTGGTCCATTGGATTTCATTCACCATTGGTCTTGTTTTGTGATCTGTCCAGTTTTGGTGAGCTTGTTTAAGGTCCTTTGGATGCTGTTGTCCAATTCACTCATGTTCTGATAAATAACTTTTAACGGGTCAATCAATCAGTTTCCTTACTTCTTCTTTTATTTCATTTAGGATAAACAATCTAGTTCAGGTGTACATGCAGTTATTAATGTATTGGGTAGACAAGTATTGAATCACTTATCAAAAGTTAATTGGCAATTTGAATCTGACCCTACCAGTGAACATGAACCTGTACTACCTAGAAAATTCCACCTGATGCTTGATAAAGACTACTTTCCAAAATCTGAAGTATGCGAAATACACGAGCTGCAACGAATCTGGTCAGTCGTCGCCGGATGTGCTGCTTCTTATGCCTATAAAACCATCGGTGCAGGATATTCAAAAGCAATGAAAGTATGGCTAGCTAATGCAGCCAGTACAGCAATTATCTTCAGTCTTATTGGTGAAATACCACGGTCAGAGGAGAAACGCAGTGAAACAGTTGAATCTGTCGCTCTCCCGGATTCTATTTCAATTGATGAAGCTGATGGTAATTGGTTCTACGGGACATGGACAAAACAAAATTTAGCTAGTGAATCAGAAATGCAGACCGTGATCCAACCAAAAATGACTGACGCATGTTTACAAGTTATGATAGCCAGTGTTGTCAATTTTTATCAAAATAATCGTTATACTCCTCCATCGAAGATGAGTACTGACAATAACAAAAACAGCAGTTATGCTGCACGAATACTAAAGAATGCATCGTGGAGTCAGTATGGCATTGCTGATAAGTCGGACAGGATTAAGATTATGAAGATCACTGGTCAATGGATATCAAGAATTCATGTGTTTAATGTATTCACCTGTTTGAAAACACTTAAACATCCACTGAAATATGTCAGAGTGATTGGTATGGGAACATTGCCGTTTTCTCAAGAGGTAAAAGATCAATTGAGCCATTTACCAAGTGGTTGGAAAAGAACAGAGATTGCAGAAGCAATAGCAAGAAAGCTAGTCAATTCTAACTTGTTTCATCTGTTTCGTGATGTTAAAGGGTTGATCAGCCTAAGAAGTCGAATAGATGAAATCCTTCAAGATCCTTTTTATTATCATCCTGACAGTGACTATTTGATTAAGGATCCTTTGAAACCAAACAGCATCGATGATGCTAACAACTTGTTAGGACGCTTAATCACCTACTTGAAGTATTCAGAACCTGATAGTGAGTTGTTTAACAGTGCTTACTTGAAAGTGGGCGGCAGAACACGAGAAAAAGACTATAATGATTATAGTGAGAATTGGGAGATACTATTGAAAAAGATTTATACAAGTGATGCATCGACTAGACAGGAGATAATTGACAGTGAAGTGAGCAAGCTGAAAGGTACTACGAATCATTTTCGAAATCAACAGGAATTGTTAAATAAATGCTTTAAGCTGTACAATGTTCAATCCAGTTATTAAAACTTTTTGTTTATTTGTTTATTGACACCAATTCATTGTTAAATGCAATCTCATTAAAATCAGAATGTGAGTATATTGTGTTTGAAATTTGCATAACACATGTTGATTTGTTACTTATCATTTGTTTTGAACGCTGTTTAATCTTCATACATTTAGTCCGCTTGATAAATTTCGATAAAGAGAAGAAAGATGAAATTTGAAGTATAAAATGATATCGTCATTCTATTTCACAGGTTCTCATCAGCTGCCATTGACTACCTGAAATTACAATGGTTTTATAGATGATAATAGCATACTTTAATGTTTAAGTGGTGGTAGAGAAGAGATACTATAAAATTGACGTATCCAATATGAAAGCATTACAATTTTTTTTAGTTTAAGTTTTCATCATCAATTTATACGCTTTTAAAGTTGAAAAGAGGAGGGAGGGGTAAGATAGAAAACAGAAAAATTGATTAACAGAACAGTGTTAGCTTGTAGGTTCACATATCAACTCAAAAAACAAAGGCGGTTACAGTTTATGAGATTAAGATTTGTTCGGTGATTTGAGATCACTGAATTAGATGATTAATAATTGTAATCGAATTCTAAATTCAGTGACCAAGGGAGTGAGAGGTTAGCCACACTTTCTTTCTGTATTCATAAGTCTCATCTGAATCGTTTGATTGCGATTGCTTCGGCGAATCGTAGTAAATTTACTTTCCTTTGTCTATTTAATATTTTGAAGGACTCAGAAACCTCAACGAGATGACCAGTATCAACAATATGTCTGGTAATTGCACTCTGAGAATATTTGCTTCCTTTTAGGCACAGGTTTCTTGGAATATGTTCAGAAAACTGGATAGAAGCCATTCTTTCTGTCCTTCGAATGTACTTGCTCCCGCAAGTGCACATAAATTCATAAACGCAGTTGGAGGTGACATCAGCAGGGTATTTAACCAGTTTTGAGTGGATTATAGAAGGAGTGGTGCTGTATACTGTTATGAGTTTTGCTGCTGGGAGGCTTCTTTTTATTGCACCTTTCAGTCTTTTGTCAATCTTTTTTGACACTGCATCTTCTTTGAATGGGAGACAAATAAACACTTTCTTTTTATCTACACATTGGGTGTTTTCTTTTCTTATCTTTTTCTCTGCTACACTTCTGTATAAATCCCTTAGGGTATCAATTTTCTCTTAGGCATTTCTCAACGAAATCTAATTCTTCTTCAACCTTGTTTGGAGAACATAGCTTCCTGGCTCTGTTGTACAAAGTCCTCAATAATCCACGTTTATAGCTTATGGGACAAAAGCTGTTATAGTGAAGATATCGCCTAGTCCAGGTTTCTCTTCTATAGAGATGGACTTTTCGACTGTGCCTTCGTTTGTTCTTTTTACATTTAGATCCAGGAAATTGAACTCATTATTATGTTCATATTCCATGGTGAATTTGATGTTTGGATGTGCCTAATTTAGGCGATGGGTGATTCATGTCGTTGAAATTAACAAATGTGTCATCAACATATCGGCGATAGTAGGCTGTTCCATTGATAGCAGAACTCAGTTGTGTCTGTTCGAGGTAGTCTATGAAGATATCTACCAGAACAGGTCCTAGAGTCGAACCCATCGCGAATCCATCAATTTCTCGGTACAGCTGACTGTTGAATTTGAATTGTATATCTTTTGTGCAAAGCATTAGTAGTCACTTCATCCCTGTTTCCGGTAATGGTAGTAGATCCGTTTGTTTACAAATGATATCGATTGTTTAATCTCTTTAATGTAATACTTCCCTTGTAGTTGTGCGCGCATTGATAGTATGTTGTACAATGTGACTTTGAATGATTCAAGGTCATTTCGACCTTCGATTGTCCTCAGGATGTGTGACTCTTGTGGACAGAGTTTCAATCGCATTTTGTTGCGAATATTCTACTGGATTCTGAGATGTTTCTTACAGCTGAATTTTAGTTAAATAACTTTGTTCTCTGGTACTTGTTTTGTGCTTAGAAACCTGTATTACCTGTATAACTGCATGACAGCACTATGAGGTATTTCTGAGGGTTGATGTTATTCTTGTTGAATAGAACCAGACATAAAACAAGCAATAACAGTTAATAAAGCAGGATGATTTAATGATCGATTCATCAAATTTCGGTGGAACTCATCAGCTGAATACTCTACATACACGGATATGCATATATACTTTCGAAATTACATAGGGAGATATAAGACTGATAAGTAAACAAACTACATTGAATTAATCATGCAGAAAGACACGTGCGAATGTTTTCCAGGTCATGTTCAAATAGATAAGGAGAGAGAGAGAGTATGAGAGATCAAAATTAAGATAAAATGCACTACGCTTCAATTACATCACTTAGATAAACAATTAATCATTAGGGAATATAACAAGAATTGCAAACACATAAACATCAATAGTAATAGTTATAGTAATAATAACAATAATAATAGTGTTGAAGTGAGTTAAGATAATCTTACTGACAAAGGATAGTTTTAAATGAATCAAGAATAATAATAAGGGGTAGAATAATAAGTAAAACTTATTACCGTGGTAGATTCAGAGTGACGACCATCTTCTTTTGTACACTGAGACCTGGTTTATAAACTCGAATTGCACAAGCCTCCTCCACAACTGCAAGCGTCTTCTTGTTTCTTTGTCTGCTGACAATAGTGGATGACTTGACAGCGTCGATATCATGTCCGTAATCCACAAGATGTTTTGTTATTGAGGATTTTGGCACTTTGCACTCAGCTGTTTTCAACCATTTTGGTAAATGCTCCATTATGCGAGTAGACAATCGCCTTTCTGTACGTACGACCTATGTATTTGCTTCCTCCTACAAACACACTCAAATTGATATATGCTGTTTGAAGTGTCAAGGATTGATGACTGGTATTTCCCAGATTGTTGAAGCACTCGCTTGATGGTGGTGTTAAGGAAAACAAGTTTCGCAGCATAATAAGTTCTCTTGATGACTTTGTCGAGTCTTCGTTTGACTGCTTCCTTTACATCATCTCCTATGAATGACAAACTGATATAGACAGGTTTCTTCGGAACTGTTTGGATTGTTTTGCAGAGGCTAATTTCTTTAGAGTATTTATTAATGAACTTCTCAGGATATCCATTCTTAGATAAAATATCCTTTATTTCATGCTCAATAGTACTGTCAGAACAAATTTTTTGTACTCTATTGAACAGTGTTCTAACTAAGTTCTTTTTATATTGGATTGGAACAAAGCTCTTTAAATGCATGTACTGTCCTGTCCATGAAGACTTTCTAAATGTAGATCTTTCGATTGTGCTAGATATAGACTCCAATTGCAAACAATCGTCTTTTTCAAAAGAATTGATACTGAACAAAGAGTACTCTTTTCGATAACCTCTTCATCATCAGGCTCTACAGTTATATACCCATCCATTATAGTGAATGAATGAATGAATTAGTGTTATGAACAACATTAATGTTGCTGTTTAATTAACATCGAATCAATAATAATAATATCAATAGATTACAGTTCAGTAGCATCAACATAAAACAAGCTGAATGTCAGAAATATTATGAAAAATAATGTTACAAATTCATGAATTTATAGTCTCTACTGAAGGCCAGCCAGGGCAGTAGTAGGGCTGGCTGAACTTGCTTCTTTTGAACACAGAGCATTGGTTATTTGAGGCGAATTGCAATAACCTCTGCTGTTTGCAGCATGCGGCTTTTCAATGTTATAGTAGATGATGATAGAAAAGGATTCTCCCACTCTGATTGGCTTTGTGGCCGGTTTACACCAGATGGTCCAATATCGAACTTTTAATGCTTTTCACTACACCTTTGCTTAGCCATAGTGGGAGATGTTCTCAAGTGAGCACGGAAAATCAAGTTCCCAGAGCAATGGCAATATAACTCGCTCCACCACAAGCGCAGTTGAATTGGTAGATACAATTTGAAGTGGCTAGTCTAGTCTAGGTACTTCATCTTTCAGTCGAGGTAGCGTTTTGTGATTATGTGTTTCTTAAGGAAGTGTAGTACAAGTATGCAGTAGGACTGAAGAATCTGTTCTCTGCGCTCAGACGACAAAAAGTCGGTTTCGGTCGCTACAGTTGGCTCTTTATAAGCAGTTCATGTATGAGTTTGACAATCAGGAGAAGAAATGCAGTGAGATATCGTATATACAATTTGCTGTAGTAGTCGCTGCTTATGTATACATCTATGTTCGTCATTCAAGTGTTGGTTTATAGGGATTTGATTGATTGGTTACAGGATTTCATTATGAGCTGGTTTCAACTCCAGTGCCATCTATGATAGTGGAACCGTGACAGATAACCAGTTCATGTAGGTCACGTTTGCATCTGAAAGTGAGGGATTAAGTTTAGGACCATTTGATAATGTCGACCCTGCGTCAGACAGAGCTGCAGTTAGAGACGGTACTACTGAGCTACTTGGGCTCTCAACGGATCTCCAGTGGGATTTTAATAGGTAATTAACAAAGTGGCCACACTGCATACATTACTAATAGAATTCAGTCAGCAACAACACTGTGGACTAGCTGCACACCCCACTGATACGTCACTGTAAATTTCAAGCTACTTTAGAGAAAGAAACCAAGGATCGATAAAATACTATTGATATTAATTTAAAGTTTTATGTCAACAGTCAGTTCACAGAAGAGATAAACAAACTTATCTGTAAGTGGCTTAATTTAATAAATTGATGATCATGGGAATAATTTATCTGCATAATACCATTTCTATGAAGTATTAAAAAATAAAATCCTCGGAACTACTTCCACTTATTAAAGCGTAAAGCGAACACGCAATTTGATGAAATGTTCTAGTAACAAGTGATCCGGCTTCTTACTAACGCCTAATTTAGCCTTTTTCAAGTAAACAGATAAATCCTATTTTGATTGGACAATAGTCAGTAGCTAGTGTAATGCGTGTGTCTAGTCCTTTTTTGGTGCAAACTGAATTCTATCAGTCAGGTTTGCAATGTGACCGCTATTCTAGATGGCTCACCATCACTATCATTCTGCATATTAGACGGTTGAAGGCGATCGGCAGGAAGTTTTGGACCTAAGTTTCGTCCCACCTGGCGCTTGTCAGCAAGGCGTATCTGCAACCTTGAAGGAAATCCATTGCAAACTTGACATTACGCTAGTTACTGACTATGGTCCAATCAAAGTATCCAATACATTCCTACGGCAGGTAATACACTAGCCAGATTTGCTGGCTCAATGGTGACGTCTGTGACTGACTACAGCCCCACTGGGTGACGCAGGCTCAAATCCTAGAAGGAGGGACATGAGTAATTCCTTCAAGGTTGCAGACACACAGCCTTATTGACTGGTGAGTGTCAACTAGCATGAAAGCTAGGTGAAGATAGGGCTTCCTGCCGATCGCCTCCAACTATCTAAGATAACACCTGTATAACATTACCGAACGAGTATGCTGTCTACCCGACTGTCTTGTTGTTCATTTCTTCTTTAACCTGTTGTTTGTTGCACGATATTGCCCACTGGATAAAATGACCGGCTATAAGGCATTCAAAACTAAGCTAAGCCTAACAGAGTATTAGTTGTCGTCAGAATAAAAGCATAAGTCATCAGCTTCTGAACGCTAGCCATGCGAGAAGATGCTGTAAACTGTCTCGTTGAAATTCCCCTGATAAGAAGAATCAATAATTATTGATTATCAGTGACTTGATTAAACTGTTCCAAACGATAAACGTAAATGTATACAGTCTGGATCGTTTTCAGAGAGATAAACATCAGCACTAATATTGATTAAGTTACTTTCTGTATTTCTCTTACTCCCTTGTGGAATAATCAATACTGACTGCAGTATCATTCGACTACTGTTGTATTCTTTTCTCGTGTGCTAATTCAGCATTTCTGTGCGATTATTTAAACGCAGAAAACACTTGGTACAATATGGTACCAAGAAAGATGCGCCACACAATATTAATAATAAAACAACATAGATTAAAAGTAAAAATATAAGTAGAGAACGGATAAAGAACTTCATCTGGAAGGAAAACAGTCATGCTTAACAAGTTCAAACAGTATTCGTTAGCTATCATCGGGAAGGGAAGAAAGAAGGAAATTGCAACACGTCCAATATTGATAACGATTCTTGGCCATATCAGATAACGTTTCGAGCCATCGGTTCCAGCTATCTCACGGACCCCAACTAGGGAGTCGTGACGCACCAACCGATGCTAATCTAGCACAAAAATCCTTCATCCCACGATGCCACGTCATGGACTGACCACCTCTCCACCTTTTCTATCCCGTCTCAGGCCTAGTGAACAGAGACCTGTACGGAAGCCTCTGGGATGACATTCGCAGTATATGTACAAGCCACCAGAGCCAGTGTTTCCAGATGACAACACTCAATGAATGGTGATCTTCACTGTGTTCAAATACACGCCGCCGAACCTCAGAATTACTCACGCGATGGTGCCATCGAACGCAAGCAATCCTGCAGAGACAGCGATGATCGAACACGCAGAGTTGCCGCACATCCTCAGCTCGGAGAGGCCAGATTTCACAGGCGTAGAGCAAGACAGCCTTCACCGAACCATCGTCTACCCGACTTTTGACATCCAAGCTAACATTGCAACGGCGCCATAGGTGGCTCGAGTTGATGTATGCCACCCTAGCCTTCATTATTATAAGGTTGGAAATCTCATCCGTCACCCCTCCACCAGCAATCACACAACCACCCAGATACACAAGCTTATCAGCAACTTCAAGCGGTTCATCCGCAAGAGTGAGTGCAGGTACAGGCTCCTGCCAATCTTGTAACAGTACTTTGCACTTAGACGGCGCAAAGTACATACCATACTTACAGACACTGAAGTGTTAAGTACTTTGTGGATTTATCAACCATTTAGTTAGTGACATAATTCGTTATGAGAAGGTGATTAAATCAGAATGTATTTTAGTCTATAAGTTATCGACGTATTCATCTGCCAGTACCAGATGAAAGTCGACACACAGATCATCTACAAGTGTGCTAAAAATATCCCAAAAGTGTAAATAGATAAATATTTATTGTAAGTATTACTGAAATCTGTGTGCTTATCAGCATATGTATGTATATATATGATCATTATTATTGTTATGTATTAGAGATATATGATACAAAGAAATTATAGTCTGACAGTTGAAACAACACTCCAAAATATGTACAGATCAGCGTAAACCAACACATTAAACTTGCTAATACAAATTGTTTCCTTTTAAATACAATACATTTCCCGCCTTGCATCATTTGACCTTCACAGATAATACACTGAAACGAAGTAAAAATAAAATAGATTGGATATGAAAGTATATTTTTCATCTAAGATGATATGCAGATATTATCATCAATAGAAATGGTTTTAGCATATATATATATATATATATATATATATATATATAGGTTTAGAGGGCGAGTGTAATCAGTGGTGTGTGAGACAATGTGAATGCTTCATTGACTTTGAAAAGGCCTTCAGTAGACAACGTTGATCGAGAGGTGATTTGGAAACTACTTCTCTACCACCAAGGGGTGCCGCCAACAACTACACATCACATCCAGCAGTTGTACGACAATGCTGCATGCCAAGTAATTCACAACAGGGAACTCGTGGAATCCTTCGAAGTGAAGACAGAAGTAAGACAAGCTAACTGGCTGCCTACTATCTCCAATGATTTTCCTGATTGCGGTAGACTGGATAGTGTGACAGACATCAGGCAACGAGGAGACAGGCATAAAATGGACCTACACAAAAAACTTGGAGGATCTGGACTTCACCGATGATATATGTCTGATTTCCCAAAAACTCGAAGATATGCAAGTGAAAAGCAAGGAGTTGGCAGAGGAAGCATCCAGAGAAGGTAAGTCTTCAGGTGAACATAGAGAAAACAGAGGTGATGAAGATTCCTGGCCAACACCACCAGCAGCAACAACAACAGACAATAATCAGCATAAATGGGAGGAATCTGAAAGAAGCAATCTCCTTTATCTACCCGCCTACCTGGAAAGCATAATTTCAACTACGGGTTGACAGAACTGATGAGGATATCACAGCAGCGAGGATCAGGAAAGCAAGACAAGCTTTCATTACTCTTAAGTCTATGTGGAGGAGATCAAAACCATTCAGCATGAAAAATAAGATCTAGATTTTCAACTCCAATGTGAAGTCAGTCAGTGCTACTAAACGGATCAGAGACACTGTGTCACGAAGGACACTTCGAACAAACTACAGACGTTTGTCAACAGCTGTCTTCCCTCAATATTACTCAAGATCAGATGGCCAGCCAGAAAAGATCAGCAGCATGGATCTCTGGCAATGAACAAACCATCCCTGCAGGAAACAACTGTGCAACAAATATGCAGGAAGAAATGGAGGTGGATCGGCTGGCCATACTCTAAGAAAACAAACCATCAAGTGAGTGACACCACACACCAGGCCATCGCTCGAGTGGAACCCTATCGAAAGGGGAGCGATGAGTTGGTCGTCAGTGTGAGGGTGGGTTGACATGGAGGATGTCATGCGAAGAGGAGATGGAAGCATGTGTGAAGACTTGGAGTCAGGTGAAAACGTTGGCGGAGAACCGAAAGCAATGGAGACTTGGGCGGCTGAAGTCCTACGTTCCTCTAGGAACTAAAAGAAACAATTTTATATAAAAATATATGTGTCGTTAAATTATTTCATTTCATTTTATCTCAGGTTCTTATGCATGACATGCCTATTCAAAGACTAACTGACTATTGTTCCATCCCATCCTACTTATACTTGTTCCCACAATACACATTTCTGATATGATTCTAATTTGGTTTTTATTGGCTGGCTGGCTATTGTATGCTTAAATTAATGGATTTATAGTTGTAGAGCAGACTTAAGAAGAAAAATTTATTGAAAACAACAATTGTTCACTCTAATTGTTTCGTTCAGATGGTCAGAAAGGATCAGAAACAGAGATCTCTGGAAGAAAACAAACCAGGAACCGATTATGCAACGAATAGGCAGGAAGAAATGGAGATGGACTGGCCATACTCTGAGGAAAACATCAAGTGACATCACTAGACAAGACATCGCTCGAGTGGAACCCTACCGGATGGGAAGCGGCGAGTTGGTCGTCAGTGCGAGGGTGACTTGAAGGAGGTCATGTGAAGGGGAGATGAAAGCATATGAGCAGACTTGGAGCGGGGTGAAAAAGTTGGCAGAAAACCTAAGGCAATGGAGACGCGTGGCTGAAGCCGTATGTTCCTCTAGGAATTAAAGGAAATAATAATAACTGTTTTGTTCCGAGAATTATTCTTTAGTAGAGGACTTCAGAACAAATGATAGCCTATTCATATGAACTGTGATCAGGATTTGATCAAATCATTCTAAAGTAATTAATTGGTCACCGAATGACAAGTAGACATTCGTAAAAATTATATTTGTAAAATCTCATCAAAACTGAAATGATTAATTCTAACGTTTCGTTCGGCAATCTAGTGTGAAATTCTTCAGGGAAATTAATCGAAATTAGCATAACTGGGGTTTATTTATAAAAGAACATCTCTTGTTTTTAAAAAAACTTTGTCCAAACATATGAGTCATGAAATAGGTATCAACATGTAAAGTAAACAAAATTATGTGAGCTGTGGTCAAAATTTAAGCCTCAGACTTTCAAAAATTAGTCTACTTTTGTTAAACACTTAATCAGAATTTTGGTGATTTCGTCCGACTAAAAGTTCATGGTCGTAGATAACTGAATATGAGAAATATATTCGTTTATGTGGTAAACAATGGTATGTATGGGTAAACTGTTGTAAAACATTTGTCAGCCTCTCTATAAGAAGATATAAACAATCGGGAATTTTGACCAAGTAGCCCTCTGGGGCCCCTGTTAGCAGATATCTTCATGTCAAAATTAGAGAAACAAATGCAAGGTACTCTTGGAGAATTTATGCTCTACAAACGTTATGTAGATGATACTCTTATTATTAGTAATAATAGCAAATCTATTGAAAACTTTATCACCCTATTTACAATCATATTCATCCAAATATTCGAGTGACCTCCGAACTAGAATCCAATAACAAACTCGGTTTCCTGGATATTACTATGACTAGGAGAAATGATGGAACGATTCAGCGCTCTATTTTTCGTAAACAGACGTGGAGTGGACAATATCTTCATTTTACCAGTTTTGTTCCTATCCAGTATAAACGTTCCCTGGTGAAATGTTTGTTCTCAAGGGCTCGAAAAATATGTACGAGTGACACATTGATGGATGAGCTTCGACATATACATTCAATTTTACTAGCCAATGGTTATCCAGAAAACTTCATCAATTGTCACGGTAAGGATAGACCACATTTTGAAAAGAAAGCTTCTGTACCGAAGAAAGCTATCTTTATTAATCTACCATTCAAGGGCGACCAGATTATGCAGTTGACAGCTCAAAGACTTCGGTCAGCCATCAAACGCACATTCTACGCCGCCACATCTCTTTTTCTCACTTGCGGAACATTTTCGATCCCTGTTCCTGCGATTAAAGGACGAAATTCTCTGGAGTCTACTTCAAACTGTATCTACAAGTTCACCGGCAGCTGCGATGACACCTATATAGGTAGAACTGACAGAATGTTCCAATGTCGTCGAAAAGAACATGTTCCAAAATGGCTACTAAATCATATAGAAAATCCCAACGCAATTAATCTTAGTAGAAATCCAGCATCATCCATTGCAAAACACTTATTAATGTCTGGTCACAAAACTAATATTAATGACTGTTTCACAATTATTTCACATAACTCTAATTCAAGGTTATTGAAGGTGATGGAAGCAGTTTGGATTAATCACATACAGCCTAAACTGTGTATACAAAAATCAATAGACTTCAATCTTCGCCTACCCTGTACTGCATGACCTATCTTAATATGATTGGTCATTAGTATGTACTTTTGTTTTTATTTAACTGAGTAATTTTCATGAACTTTATTTTATCATTGTTAACCATGTTAGTTGTAAAGCGGTTGTAAAGAAACTACGAAATGACGATATCATCTCGTGAAATTTGTCTTCTTAATGCCTTATTCAAGTATGATTAATTAGTGATACATATCCAGTTTTTATTTATTAATGAGTATTTGTTATGTATCAGCTAACATCACACCTTCACGTCTGTTCAAACTGTTGAAATTCACCCAAAGCTTCTGCAGTCACTCTGTCTTTATACGAACCAAAATCTTTCTGTAGAACCTTAGTCTTATCAAAGTCGATTTTGTGTCCCGTTTCTATCGAATGCAGTGTAATCGCTGATCTAGCTTCTAGCTTCTTTAAGTCTTCAACCGTCTTTCCAATCACCTTGAGAGACATTGTTTATGCTCTCTCACTTTCACATTTTTACAAGTTGATCACGGATTGATATCAGTTAGAGAACCATTGAAAACCAGCACTGGAGTAGTGGACAGCCAGCTGTTTCATTCTAGTCTGGGAATCATCACTATAGAAAATTAATCTGATGCTCTCTAGTGACTTGCTACACGATAGAGTTTCCTGGAGCTCTAGTTAGAAGTCATGACCAGTGAAGTCCATCCAGATGTCACGTGTGAGGATGGATGTCCCACCTACGACAATGGTTGGGGTCACGCTAAATCACGAGTTGATAGGAGTTAGAATTCATGGTCTGGACATTGACGAGTCGGGTCCCAGTGGCTGAATAGTATACGAGCTTGCTCGCCTTTTAACCGCAAGGTCGTGGGTTCGAATCCTGGTGGTGGGTGCGTGCTGCCGATGATTCATAAACTAGTATGAAACAGCTAGCTGTCCAGTACTCCAGTGCTGGTTTTCAATGGTTCTCTAACTGATATCAATCCGTGATTAACTCATAAAAACAAAACTAACGCTTACAAACCATAACTATAGAAAACTTTCACATTTACTTGTCTGGAAGTTTCTCCTACATATACGGCATCATAGTCCCCCACAATCGGTCTGGTGTACACAGTTATGTCGGTTTTCTTCCGTTTTATCCCTAACCTTCATCAGTGATAAGGAGCGTAAGGTGTTAGTTGCACGAAATCACCTTCTTATATTGTCATGATCGTTAAGGATTCGCTTTGTCTCATCCGATTTGTCTTTGTGGTAGGGAATCACCGCTGTACTAACCCAATTATTAGAAACAAGAGACGTCCTCTATATACATAAACCTCTGTTACGCTAATTTCGAATAATTCCTCCTGAAGAAGTTCGAACTAGATTGTCGAACGCAAGAAACTTTGGAATTACTTATTTCAATTTCTCTGAGATTTTACAAATACAATTTACAATAGTTACAAATCGACCCTCAATTCAACGAGATAGTTGATTCTAATCGTTTAAATCAGTGTGGTATGTACACATATATGATCAATAAATACGTGTTTATTCTTGTTATATATCTGTCTATACAGCGAATGATATATGATTACTTTAAGTATTGATTTTCTTTATGCATGAATTGTATACAACATTGTACCTAAATCATTTAAACAATTAATTGTATGCCTTGCCTGAGATAAACATTAGTAATACTTGATTGCTTGTAATTTCTCTAAATATTATAATAAAAGTACCAAAATAAACAGTATTGCTTTCAATAACACTCGCAATTAATAACACTAACTGTGTGCATTAAACGATATGTACATATCTATATTTTCTTGAGTAGCCCAGTATCTAAGCTTTGCTTGTCACAACAACATTCCAACTTCATACATACCATAATATGGCATAGAAATAGTCGGATCGATTAATTCATAACAATAAAATGGAGTTTTTGTAACAACTTACAGGAATAGATATAAGAACATAAATTGCGCCAAGTATATGATTAGCTACCTTTAAATGATTGAGAAAGGGTAAATACACATTTCATTATTATTATTATTATTATTATTAGTCTGGAACAATGTCTGTTGAGTGTGATTATAATGAAATTTGCTAAGATACGTGTTAACTGTTTGGTTTAATGTATTGCATATTCAAATTATATTCAAGACTACGGTGTGCAGTACTTCAAGTCTTTATCAACTATATTCAGCTGTTGTCTGTATGACGATGCTTGTGACGTGTCAGGTGATCCACAACGCGAAAACTCAGAGAGGTGTTTGAAGAGGAGACAGGAGTAAGGTGCCTCCAAAGCCTCATGATGGTCGGGGGTGGGTGCCTTGCGCTGCGGATTGGCCACCCCTCCGCACACCTCTTGAAATGCTCCCATATGACCGGGCGTCTTTCATAGCCTCTCCTGAGGAAGTCCTACTCACTGCCTTCACGTGGCGGAGGTGTTTTTCACCGAAGTGAGAGGGCAAAAGCGGATGCCCGGCGCTCTTCACCGGGTTGACTGTCCATAGGATAACAGTCTAGGGGAGATGACTAAACCCTGATTCCAAACCTCCAACGACTGGCGTATGAAGGCCACCGGAGACGTATGGACAAAGGGCTTATTGGATTCCCTGGATGTCTGGCCCCATTCAAAGGGCGTATGAACCGGACTCCGGTCACCGACTGCCAATGGATAGTGGACTCTCTACTCCACTCCTACTGCTTTGTAGGTCACACTTGGTTGTGTAAAGGCTAGAGCTGCACTCTCAAACAAAAGGCCGAGAGATTCTGGGGACATCACTCGTACCCAATTTCCATGAAACTTCATGAACTCTTGTTCATGAAGCCGCTCATCCTCCCGGAGGAGATAGCTGAAGTAAAGTAAAAGTAAAGTAAGGAGTAAGGTGAGGTTATCTGTTGATTATCACCGATGATATTCTTAATTGTGGTGGACTGGATTATGCGTCAGACTGTGCACAAGCACTGAGAAGACAAGAATAGGCTAGACCACCGATAAGAAGACTCTAGAAGATCTGGATTTCGCATATGGATGATTCATGTTTAGTGTCACATAAACTCGAAGACTTACGGGCAGGTGAGAGGCAACAAACTGGTTGAAGAGGTAGTCACTTAAGACAGGATTGCAGATGAACATCGAGGAGACGGAGGTGATGGAGATAACCAACCGACCAACACCGCCAACAACAACCGGCGCCAATCACCGCCAACGGGAGAGATTTGATAGAGGTTACTTTCCCCTTTTACTTATCTGGTCAGGAAGCATCATTGCAACTACAGGTAGTCGGAACGAATGAAGATGTCAACACCAGCCTTCGTCAACCTGAAACCAGTTTGAAAATTTTTTGAGCCCCCTTCGCATAGGCAATAAGATTCATATTTTCAACATCAATGTGAACTCAGTGACTGCTTCTCTACGGGTCATAAACTTTCACTCCGCGTCACGAAAGCATTTCCAACAGGTTTCTGCAGACTATTATGAACGGTCGCCCTTTTAGCTGGTTGGCTCTATATTGAAGATCAAATGACCAGCTGACTAGAAAAAATTAGCAACAAGAAACTCCCAATGGCTTAATGGTATACGAGCTCACTAGCCTTGTAACCAGAAGGTCCTGGGTTAGAATCCCGGCGGGTGCGTACTGATGAAGAGTCACAAACTAGGACGAAACAGCTGTCCAGTACTCCCAGGTTTTCCAATGATTCTCTAAGTAATGTCAGCTCATTATGAAATCCTGTAACCAATGAAATCCCTACAAACCAACACTTGAACTCAGACTGTGTAATGGTGACATGGGGAATATCGTGTGGCGAGGAGGAGATGGGAGACTATAGTCAATCTAGAACCCAGGTGAAGAGGATGGCAGAGAATAGAACAGAGTGTAATAAAAGACTGACTAGCAAATAAAGAATCTCATTAAGTTTCCAGACCGTAGATGTTACGAATTCCCTGAAATAATTCGAGCACCGAGTCAGATTGAATTGTTATAATTTACTTAAAATAATCCCAGCGTGTTTAAGAAAAATCTTGTTCTGACAATTTATAAAGGATATTCTTTCTGTTATTGTAGAAGTTTTTGTGTTTCCCAGTGAATGAAAATCAAAACGATATTGTTGTGTTTACTGACGTTTCGGTATTCAGTGCTACTGCTAATAACTTTATCAGAATAGTAATATTAAGCCAGAATTTACAAAATGTAACAAGAAGTTAGTTGGTGGATAGTGACTAGCAGTGGAATCCAGGATAATGCGCATTTCGTCCTATTCGGGACTCGTCAGATGGATGATGTTCCCAAAGAGGTTCGAACCTACTGCCCATAGTTTCAAACGCTTTCGTGGCCCAAGTGGTCTAGTGGATAACGCTTTGACGTTTGAAACTATGCGCACTGGGTTCGAGCCTTGGTGGGAACATCATCACTCACTGCAGAATGCAAGTACATCCAGCTAGCGAGTCCAAAAGAGAACGAAATGCGCATTCTGCATTCCAGTGCTAGTCACCATCCATCAACTAACTTATAATTACACGCCCAGACATCATCGAAGCATCTGCACAAGAAGCCAACATGTCAACCTGAGCACTTCGGTCCAATCTATGGAAGGGAAAATCTAAAATTGAATTAAATCATATGTAACAACTGAATCATCGTTCATCAGCATGAGGCGATTATTTTCTTCATCAGGTTCTATAGTCATATGAACGTAATAATCAAGGAATGACAGTTAGTCCCCTTTTTCAATTTAGACAAAGCCAAAAGAAGATGTAATTTCTTTGAATCGTGTTGTAATGTATATGAGTGACACACATTTTGAACAGTCTGATCCAGCACACACGGTCTTGCCATAGAAATATATATCAAATTAATAAAGAGTGAGTAAAGAGGTGAGAAAATAGACTTGGGTCAATTTAAAATTTAAATTTTTCATCCCGTTCCCTATATCTTATGTAAGGGATTCATTACTTCTATCTACTAGCAATGTAAGGTTTGCATTTGAAGGCGATTGTTTCTTCCGAGTTGATGTTGTTGCTATGGGAAGTCCGTTGGGACCCCTTCTGGCAGATAGCTATATGTTGCACATTGAGAGATTATCGAAGGATTTAATCGAAAATGTGCCACTTTATAGAAGGTATGTCGACGACATTGTAATCATAAGTGATGAAGTTCAGAATAGCCCATCATTTACGTCTGTAGAAGACGAAGATAACTGTTTATCTTTCTTAGATATATTGCTTAGTCGACGGCCTGATGAATCAATAAAACGATGTATCCATAGAAAACCTACCTGGTCAGGACAGTATCTTAATTATCACAGTTTCTGTTCTGTTCGGTACAAAAGAGCCTCAGTGAGTAAAGTGCCTCCTTAGTAGAATCCAACGAATATGCACTAAAGACAGACACACTTGATGATGAGGAAGAAAGTAAGGAAGTTGACACAAACTCTGGTTGATAACAATTATCCAGACAAGTTCATCAGGAGATATAAAGTTGTCAGTGGAACACCAAGACCCACTCTCCAACTCGCCCCTAAGAAAGACGTATGTACATCAAACTACCCTACATGGGTGATCATAGCAGCTTGACAACTAGACAGAGAGAGATTGAACACTGATGTTAAAAAGGCGTTTTATGCGGCTGATATCACAATAATTGAGAATGTAAAGCCGATATATCAATCTAACTCCAACTTTATGTGTTCAAAGAAACAATTTTGTCATCACACTAAACCTTCCCTGGTAAACTTTGTTTTGATACCAGCCAGGTCAGATGTACTATTACCTCTCTCATTTGGTTTAGTGATGCCCATCATTATTTTGATCCTCAGTATGTCCTTTTAATTTGACCTAAGTCTATTTTCTCGCCTCTTAACTCACTTTTTGTTGATTATATATATATGTTCCTGTGACAAGTCCGTGTGTGCTGGATGAGATTGTTCGAAATGTGTTGTGCAAATACGCTACAATCCGATTCAGACAAATTACATCTTCTTATGGCTTCGTTTAAGGAATTCTAGTTAGCAAAAGCATTAATATTGGATATTAAAGTTGGAAAAATAGTATTTTACTATCTGAGATAAGAACCGAGTAAAATATGGGTACCAAGATTCCCATCACACAAAAGTAATAAGATGATAGTACAGGGAATAGAGAAATAGAATAAGTGATGAATGGCATCATGAAAACATGCAAAAATTGAAAGAAACTTTCATGTAACTTTTCGGAAGAGAAAAATGGTGGAAATCACAGTAAATTCACCAGTGATTTTTATTTTCAGGCATATCTGATAACTTTTTGAGAAACAAGGCTGGATGATCTTTCAGATCCCACCAAGGTGGTGGGATTTCGTGATGCACGAGAAGATTCTAACCTAGCCACCTATGTTGTCATGTTATGGTTCAATCACGTCTCAGCATTTTGAACTCATTCTCTAGACTAATAAACAATGTTCTGTCGAAATGGACGAAAGTGAGATGGCATTCAAAGCATATTTCTGATTCAGCGAATCCACTGTCGGAGATGACATCAAAAAGTGAAAGATGACCTCCATTAGATTGAAACATACACCGCTGCATATCGGAATTACTCGTACGGTGATAACAATACAAGCAGTATAACAGAAACAGCGATGGCCAGTTACGTAGGGTGATCCAAAATTATCAGCTCGGTAAAGCTAGATTGTACATATGTATAATGCAAGACGCCGAAATGTCATCAACCGAACCTTTCAGGACTAGACCGATATCACGACATCAACAGTGATGGCCCTGGCTTTCAATATTCAACTGGGAATATCATATGTAACACTCACACCAGAAACCACACAACTACCTAAATATTTGAATTTGTCGACCACTTCTGATGGTTCAACTAAGAGGAGGGCGTCGGTGGCACAGTGGTTAGCATGCTCGCCGGCCATGCCCATGGTCCAGGGGTTCGATCCGCGGCCACCGACGCATTCCTTTACCTCACTTAGCCAGTAATAAGACTGGTAAAGAGGGAAGGTTGGGCATGAGGCTAGCAACCCAATCCTGTAAAAATAACCACCACTGCTACAGAAACTTTAAGCCTCCAGCTTGAAGCCCTATGCTCCACTGAGAACGTGAAGGAATTAGAAAAAAAACCGAAGAGAAGGAGTGCGCCTATAGGTTTGTACCAATCTTACTTTACATATAGTGTAGCGATAAATACAGGCACTAATCGTCAAGTAATTAATTGCAATTTGGGTAATCTTACTACACAACGATATCGTTTGCTTATTCAAGAACTAACAGACTCTCTTCAGACAGCAGATCTCCACTACAACTAGATAAATCCCTCAGAGCTATCTCCAGAATGTCACGAACAACAAAACTAAAGAGAAACTGTTAGAATGAACAACAATATCTAACTCCACTGCTGGTTGAAAAGGTAGATGCATGTCCTCACTCTGTCTTAGGTATTGGTACTGCATAAAATATACTTTCATCTTTACAGTTTAATACAATTCTTTTTTAATAAGACTGAGTATTTCTCAACTAATGCTACTACTACGGCGTGTACTATTGATTGGGATATGAAAGTAGCATATTGGTGACGACTTCTGGAAGAATCGTCAAACATAGAGTGGCGGATTAAGTTGCAAAGGGAAGTGGAAATGATTGTATTTGTATTCGACTTCCATGTCTTCGTTTCTCGTCTTTGCAACTTAATCCTCCACTGCACTATTCAATAGTCCTACAGAAGACGTCATCATTATGCCACCTATAGATTCCTGCCCGTAGTATACGCCACTGTAGTAAAACAACAACTGCTATTACACAACTGTCTTTAAGAAATTATTTGACCTTCATTATAATAAAGGTTTTTTTGTGTTGACCAGTGAATGAAAAACAAATCGATATTGTTGTGTTTACTGACGTTTCGCTATTTAATACAATTAATAGCTTTATCAAAGTAGTTATATTAAACCAGAGTTTAATAAATTTCGGCTTATTTTTAACAACTTAATCATCGTTCCTCAACATGGAGTCATTTTTCCGTCCTCAAATTGGTCAGTTGGTAAATATAACAAAACCATGTATAGATTGTTGGATTTGATGAGTGTGTAAAATTATAAGAGCAGCGTGTGTTTACTTTTTTTTTTTTTGATTACAGCTTGATTCCACACTGTATTTTTGGTACAAGTATGGAATTTTCAGCGTGGATATCGGTAGCCCAAATTTTGCAGGCCGACCATAGATATCAGGTGTGCGTCGGCGTGGGCTAGAACCTCGGACCATGTGCATAGTCGGCGAGAGTCCTAACCACTGTGCCACCGACGCACGTAATCAAATTGATTATTGAATTCGTGTTGGCTTAGTGATTTCATAGGGGAGAGGGTTGTTGTAACCAGGTGAAATTCTGGTTTAGCCCATCATTCCTTTTCAGTCAATTTGGATTCCACTTGATATGAAGGCCTTCTCATATTAGATATTTTGTCTGATATCTGAAATTTGCTGGATGATGATTTCAATATTGTCAAAATCAATTTTGTGGCCTGACCTGATTGTATAGCGTGTAAACAAACTATGGTTGGCTGATGATTTTTCAAGCTTTTCTAGTTCAACTGAATTTCTCGGTGGTCGAACAGATACGGCTCAACAGTCTTCGTTTCTTCTGATCTTGATTTCTGTCTAGCGATGTTTGTCCGATGTATATGGCATCACATTCCAAGTAGATATTTTATTCTATAGACACAATTAGATAGAGAATCTCTAGGGATTTGTTCTTTTATATGGACAAGGTTGCTTCTCAGCGTGTGTCTGATGTAGTCTTCTGAAATCGTCTGACACCTCTGCTCTATATGGAATGACGACTGTTGATGTCCATGTTTTCGCAATGCGTTTTCGGCCATACTTAATGTCTGTGTTGATTTTATTGATGAAGCTCTCTGGGTAGTTGTTTCGCTTGAGAGTTTCAGGAATGTTTGATATTTCGTCTTCTTTTTCTTTCTCATCCGTCATCAATCAGAGAGTGTGCTCGTCGAAGAAGACTTGAAACAACTGAAATCTTCGCGCTAATGGGGTGTGATGATTTGAAGTCTAAATATTTATTGGAGTGGGTTTTCTTCTTGAATATAGATATAGTGAAATGTCCGTTTTCCCTCATCTTATCTAGGCAGCCAGTTGTTATGTACTCGTCGCCAAATTATCGTTATGTACTGGTTGAGAATTTAATAGTCCTGACTCAAGAAGGCGGAAATCAGAAGACCACTAGGTTTGCGATGATACTTCTATTTTCCAAACACAAGGAGAAGCAATAAGTGGTATCACACCAAAAATAAGTAGTCACACAATATTGTGAGAGCGAAATATATATGAATGTTCAGACAAGTGTGTGAACAAATCAATAGACAGTCTTAACATGAATGGCTAATTATAATGGAGTGTCGATACATATATACATAGCAAAATATAGCAGACATGTCAACAACCACACATTTAATATGGATATATGTCACCAAGCAACGGACTGTCAACAAACACTCATATTATATATAATATAAGGGGAATATACATTGTTAAAGGAGACAGGTTCATCAAAGTGAAATGGTCACAGACTAAGAGAGCAAACAGAAAGAGAGATCACCATATATATATATGGATACATATCACCAGTCTAGAAATGGAAGTTCACTGACCTCTGGTGCTGTTTCCGATGATTTAGTTGTTATACATATATACGCTGAGATTTTGTTAATTTTGGTTTATTATTACTTCTCCGATAAGGCTATTAGCGGCATTAAATAGCGAAACGTCAGTAAACACAACAATATAGTTTTGTTTTTCATTCATTCATTGGGCAATACAAAAACCTATATTATAATGAGTGAATATCATATACCGTATGTCCAAATTTTTCCAAACTGTTAAAAGTGAACTTGCTTTAGACACACATATAACTTACTTGACCTGTTTTCAGTTCATTTAACAGTACTGATATGATAAAGCCTAAACACATCATTATCAGTGCATAAATAATAATTAAATGCCAATATCTTGTTAAGTCAAATTTTAACTTTAAACCAGCAATGAAGAATACACCGAACAGCATATTGGCGATAATCCAGGATAACATTGACCAGGTAGTTGATGGAAGAATGGCAAATGTTGATATTACAATACCAGATGTCAGTGCCTATTGAGAAAAATAGTAAAAGAAAATGTGACAAGTTTTTTGTAGGTCATTTTATCAAAAGAAATGAGAGCGTTACAGTATTAGTGAAGTAATATTATTTTATATTGGATAAGTTTACTATAATAATGACTAACACACAGTGATGATGCAATATTAACATCTGGGTGACAAGGTTTCGAGCAAAAGTCATTGCCACTCTTGAATCGACCACCACCGGCAGCTCACCCAGAAATACCGCCAACAGCACACACGGAAATGCCTGCCAATGAAAACTACTCCTCCAACGGAAGAAGAATTCCTGAATGTGATGGGCGACTTACACCTCATTCTGCAAGGACTCTTTTCTTTTTTACACCAAGTAAAATACTAAGTCGCATCATTCCGGACAGAATAAAGGACACGCTGGATACAGAACTCCGCCAACCCCACTGGAATAAGCTGTCTGGATTCAGGGAAGGCAAATCATTTGCGGATCAAATTGCAACTCTACGCATCATCATCACAGAAGAAAGCATTGAATGGCAGTCAACTCCTACTCTACCTCAACTTCATTGACTTCGAAAAGGCCTGCACCAGACAGCATTGACAGGGAAGTAATTTGTAAACTGCTTCAACACTACGGCGTACCTTAAGTCTTTATCAAACTCATTCAACAGCTTTATGACGCTGCCACGTGTCAAGTGATCCACAACGGAAAACTCGATGAGGTGTTCGACTTGAATACCAGAAGAAGTAAGACAAGGCTGGCTTTCTATTATCACTGATGATATTCCTAACTGTTGTGGACTGGATTATGCGTCAGATTGTTGGGGGCGAGGAGACAAGAATACACTGGACCACCGATATGAAGACTCTAGAAGATCTTGATTCCACGTGTAGACGATTTATGTTTAATGTCACAGACTGGAAGACTTACGGGCGAAAGCCAACAAACTGGCTGAAGGAACAGTGCAGCGAAGATAGAACTCCAGGTGAGCATAGGTAAGACGGAGGTGGTGAAGATTACTAAGCAACAGCAACAACAACCAGCACCAATCACCATCAAAGGGAGGGATTTAACAGAGGTTACCTCCTTCACTTATCTGGCCAGGGAGCGTCGTTTCAACTACAGGTGGAACGAAGAATGATGTTAAAGTCAGAATCGGAAAGGCAAGATACGCACGCCTTCATCAACCTGAAACCAGTTTGGAGATCTTCTATACTTCATTAGCGTAAGGAACAAGATTCGCATTTTAAACACTAATGTCAAGTCAGTCCTTTTATGCTGTTCAGAAACTTGCACCGCATGTCAGTCACGAAAAGGATTTCCAACAGTTTGTTGTAGATGTTCATCAACAGCTGCCCCCACCAAATACATACTGAAGATCAAATAGCAGACCAGAAAGAATAAGCAACAAGAAACTATGGGAAGAAACCAACAGGCGAAAGCCGATCGGTCAACAAATATCTAAGAGAAAATGGAGATTGATTGTTCAGGCATAAATTGAGGAGGTTGCCAAATGACATCATATGCCAGGCCACTCCTCGATTGGGATGCAAATGAGAAGCGATGAATGGGTCGTCGTTGTGAGGGTGACATGGAGGAAATCGTGTGACGAGAAGGAGATGAGAGAGTTTGGTTAATCGTGTTCGCAGCTGAAGAGGACGGCAGAAAACAGAACAAAGCGTGAACTGGCAGAAGTTAGAATTGGAGGACCATTGGATCGGGTCCCAGTGGCTCAATGGTCTACGAGCTCGCCTTGTAACCAGAAGGTCCTGGGTTCGAATCCCGGTGGGTGCGTACTGATGAGGAGTCCCAAACTAGGACGAAACAGCTGTCCAGTACTCCCAGGTTTTCCAGTGGTTCTCTAACTGATGTCAGCTCATGATTAAATCCTCCATGCAAAGCGTAGATGTGTTGTTGAAGCCCTCCCTATGTTCCACTCGGAACTCAACGGAATAATAATAAAATAACTGTGCTCATATTCATACCAATTTAGTAACACATTTTCACAATTTGTTTTGTGTACATATTTCTTCTCTCTCTCTGCTTCTCCCTCCAACTTCCCTTTGTTGTTTGTTGCCACTTTCTATATCTCCCGTGTGGTCGTTGTGTCTAACCTCCACTGTATTCGAATTTCAAAATAAACTATATAAACAAACGAATGCGGTGGTAATGGGATCACCATTGTGGATCCCTAATAGTGGCAGACATAAGGCTCTTAGAATGTTTAATTCTGCTCTTAGGTTACGGTTATATATATGGATGGTTATATGGATGTTCATAGACGTTTATTGTGTTCAAATCTGAACATATCCTTCAATTTCTCACACATATAAACTGTATTATTATCATTTTTGTTTCCTTTAGTTTCTAGAGGAACATAAGGCCTCAGCCGCCCGTTTCCATTGCGTTCGGTTCTCTGCCAAACTTTTCACCTTGCTCCATGTCTCCCCACATGCCCCCATCTACTTTTCATATGATCTCCTCCATGTCATCCTCGTACCGACGACCAACTCACTGCTTTCTTTCGGGTTCCAGTCGAGGGCATTTCTAGTGATGTCACTTGATGGTTTTCTCAGAGTATGGCCAGCCGATCCACCTGCACTTCTTCATGCATATTTGTTGCACAATTAGTTCCTGCTGGGTGGTTCGCTCATTGACAAAGGTCCCTGTTGCTGATCTTTTCTAGGCCTTCTGATCTTGTGTATTGAGCGAAAACAGCTGTTGTTGAAGGTGTGTAGTTTGTTTGAGGTGCTCTTCATGACGCACTGGTCAAGTCTCTGATCCGTATAGTAAGTGGCACTGACTTCACATTGGAGTTAAAAATCCGGATCTTATTTTTGATGCTGAGTGCTGTTGAGCTCCACACAGACTTGACAGTAATGAAAGCTTGTCTTGCTTTCCCGATCCTTGCTTAGATATCGTCATCAGTTCCGTCAGTCTGTAGTTGAAACGATGCTTCCCAGGTAGGCGGCTAGGTAGGTAGGTAAAGGAGGTTGCTTCTTTCAGATTTCTCCCATTTATGCTGGCTGGTTGTTGTCTGTTGTTGTTGGCCAGGAATCTTCATCACCTCTGTTTTCTCTTCATTCACCTGAAGACCTATCTTTTCGGAATGCTTCTTCTGATAACTTTTTGCTTTTTACTTGAATATCTTCCAGTTTGTTGGAAATCAGACATATATCATTGGTGAAGTCCAGATCCTCCAAGTGTTTTTTGTGGGTCTATTTTGTGCCTGTCTTCTCGTTGCCCGGCCCACTGTCTATCGCATTATCCAGTCCAGACAGTTGTCAGCCAGTCAGCTTGTCTTACTCCTGTCTACACTTTAAAGTATTCCGCGAGTTTCCCGTCGTCGATACTCAATAGTAGATGGAATCGAATTCACTTCTGAGTTAGAAAACGAACAGGGCGAATTGGCCGTGGTAGACTGCAGAATAAAACGAAAACAAGATGGTGGGCTAGATACTAACATTAATAGGAAACCGACACACTCTAACAAACACTTAGACTAGACTTTAATTCATCCCATCCAGAATCCGTAAAGGAAGATGAGTTTAATTAAATGTCTGTATAATCCGGGTGAGAAGCCTAAATAGTAGATCAAAAAATTTAATAAATAAAATCAAATGAATCAAAGAAATTTTACTAGTGAATAACACACTACCCACCAGAATTTATTCAGAAATAGATGAAGAATCATAAAAGAAACTAAGAGTAGCAATAAAAGTGATGGAAATAACGAAAATAGCGCAGAATTCCAAGCCTCTATAACACTTGCGTATAAAGAAGGGACATCAGAGGCCTCACGTAGAATTTTTAATGACGCTGGAATTAGGGTAGCATTTTAACCAACCAACCAACCAACTCATTCAGAGACAAACTTTGTCACCTTAAGGACCCAGTAGATCCAATTAGGAAAAGTAATATAATTTACCAAATACCATGTAATGATTGTAAATGAGGTCAATTACATAGGTCAAATTAGTAGATCGTGATCAAGTGAATTATTGGAACATAAAAATTTAACTAGCAAGACCTAGAATGGTTTACCTTGCTAAGTTAAGTAACCTAGAAAAAAGCTCAACCGTTGCACTGCATTGCATTCACTTGCATGTAATCACACAAAACGTTGGGTGGGAGACAAGGTAATATAGTTAGAGAGGTTAATCACTGAAGCCTTGTTTATCATCGACTCAGCACCACACACGTGCAATCGGAATGATACTACTCCCGCACCGGAGATATGGAAAGTGGCAAAAACAACAAGGAGAAGGGGGAAGGGGAGAGAGACAAGATGTGTAAAGCCGTGTGACTAAATTGATATGATTATGAGTGGTAATGATTTATGCTCGAAACCTTGTCATCCAGTAGTTAATACTGCGTCATCACTGTGTGTGATATTTAAAATAAACTTTTCTAATATGGAGTTACACTCTACCACAGTGTCCAAGTTCAACACTTACATTAGTATTATCATTTCACCAGTGGATTGAGTCAATTATCCATTTTCATTGTTTCAGCCATGAGTGTGGTACTTACTTGAATCATATAGGTTACAAACTAGCTACCATTGGGTGTTATAATAATAACTGGTAGAGATATGCTTTTGGAAAAAATCAAACCATTATTCCTGAGCAGTCTTGCATCTTTTGGTAAGGTGACTAGCAGTCAAATTAAGTGTACGTATTACGTCCCATCTAAGGCTCATCAGGTGCGATGACAATCTTCCTAACATTTAAAAAGGCTGTGTATATCTATGAATAAAGAATAATTATTTCTTTATACGAAGTGTGAACAAGATTTGGTATAATAACTCCACTGTCACATGGCTCAGAGTGAATAGTAGATATCTGTTAAAATCATATTTCTATAAATCTCGGGAAAAAATTGAAATATAATAGTAGTATATTTAGCATTTCTGAAATTAATTAAAATATTTTCAAGTGTCAATTTTGTGGGGATTTCATTTGATTGTTTGGAGGATTTTATCATCAGCTGACATCAGTTAGGGAACCACTTG